TAAAAAGATGAGAGAGGCCTGTAATTTTCATCATAGGTATACCTCAACTATGAGAGACAAAATGAGAAGAAAAAAAAAATCCAGAAAATCACATCATGAGAAAACAAGTCTTATCAACTAAAATTACACCACCACTGGTACCTTTTTCATGCTCTAACAAATGGTTTTTGCCTCTGGCTAATAGTATGTTGCAATGCACAGAAAGCAGGTATCTCTGAGCCGACCGGTTCATGTAGTGTGATATGGAAAAGGACAGCATGCAGTGGCTTGTTGTAACTCAGGATGTTTTGTCTTTGAAACTCCAGAGATGAACAATTTCTCATAGTTTATATATATAACCCATTCATGTGTCTTCTCCACTGCTTGTAAAGATGGCAAATATCAACTGCTGTATGAGTTTGGTAATCCTGCAGTTGAATCACTGTAGAATCTGTCAGCCATTCCAGTCCTTCAGTCACACATTCTTGGGGAACAACAACTTGGATCATTACTTGGTGTTCTCAAACACCACTACAGCTTCCAGTAATGAGTAATGAAATAATGTATTCTCCATGATTCCAAACAACAATCAACAGGAATCAAAGAATAATTATTGATTGCTAATTGTACTGAAAATTAAATTGTGGAGTAAAAATAAAATAAAAAAATTGCTATTTACTCACCCTTATGTTGTTTCGAACATGTATGATTTTTTTCTGTTGAACACAAAAGAAGATATTTTGAAGAATATTGATAACCAAACACACTGACTTCCATTGTATTTTTTTTACCATTTGTGTTCAACAGAAGAAAGAAAGTCATACAGGTTTGGAACCACTGATGACAGAATTTTAATTTTTTGAGTGATCTCTTTAATAACAATGAAATATTGTTGTAGTATGTTCGTCCTGTTGACAATTGTTGCTGATTGTTTTGTACATTGTAATAGGATTTTTTTTTCTTACCAGAATGCCATAAGATAATATACAGGCTAAAATGTACAAATTCACACTGCAACTTCCATGTCTATCACACAGCAGACACAATCTCTCTGAGATTTCCAACTGTATTTGTAGCTACTGTTTCACAGTACAAACACAACTGGCACCATCTTGTGTTTCAGTCATCATTTGTAGAGAAAATGCAAAAATATTAATAAATTAATTAATGATAATAAACTCCTTTTTTTACCCTTTTTTCCCAATGATATTTCCTCCAATATGAAAATGAGGAGATGGTTGGTTTACCCCTGTTGGCTGATCCATTACAAAATGTACAGTTCAACTAAATACCATCTTATACGACAGAAGTTTTCCTGTGCATTTAAGTATGATTAATCCACACAGTTATCAGTGAATGAGAGCCATTGTAATGCTGGAAACGAAAAGGGCCCTCCAACTCCTCCTCAAATTGTTGCAAAAAAGTTGGAAGCACACATTTCTCTAGACAGAGAGTCACTGTGGCATAGATGAAGATAAGAGTGTTCTTCACTGGAATTAAGAGGCCTAGCCAAACACATTTATATAAAAAAAAGGATGACCTCATTCAAATTTAGATTTCAGAGGAAATCCTGCCACATTGCGGAATGGCTCTGTCTCTTTCTCATCTAACAGAAACACATTTGTAAAAAATTTAAAAATGTAAAAGATTGGATGACCAATAATTTTCTCCTATTAATGATTGCATCATATAATAATTGCTGTTAATAGTGTTCATTGTCTATTTTATTACGTCTTAAATGGATTTTTTCTGTACATTTCTGCCATATGTACATTAACTGACAGTCACCACTAAATATTGTAGAAACTTAATTTGCTGTAAAGTTGCTTTGCAATGATTTGTATCATGAAAAGTGCTTTACAAATAAACTTGACCTGACGTTTCTCTTCAATCCAGTTTTGATGTAGCCTAATTGAGAAGCTACCAGGTACAGAATCATGTGCTGGCACATGTGGAGAATGATTCATGACTGTAGTTTTACAGAAGAGGAAATATCTTACTGTTCCCAAGGAAAAAGACAAAATCAGAGCCTGAAGGTAGACATTTTAATTTTATCATGGTGGTTTATGATTTTAAGAAATAGATATATGGAGGTAGTGAGCAATTTTACATATTTGAAAATTTGTTTGACCACATGTATATGCTTCACAATAAGGTTAGATTCAGTGTTATTAATGCTTTTGTTAATTTTATAGAATGTTTACAGAATTAACGTTAATTTATAATAGTTTCCTCAGCACATGCATTTGGCACTGAAAGAACAAGACATCTTAGGACATATTTTGTGCTTTTATCATGAGAAATAAGGCAGGCAAGTGGCCAAGTGCCACTAAAAGAACATTGGGGGGAAACCTGAAGCTACTCTAATTCCATTACACCTCATTGGAGTAAGTGCAGTCAGTGCTGCAGTTTTTAACTGTGCCTTTGTTGAGGAGAAACCCTTTAGCTTTAGCACAGCTTTTAGATGTTCAGTTGCCACATGCTCATTGATAGGACTGACAAACGGTGTCTGGAAATGCAATCCAGTGCTTCAGGGTGACCTGAAATGTCCTCAGAGTTTCAGAAGAGCATGCAAGGCAGCGAAAGCCTTAATAGGCCTCGACAAAAGCCTTCTGTCCTTTACAGAAATGGGGACTGTTGCTGTTTTTAGTTTTCACAACTGACCCATGACGTATGAAAACGTGACAGATTTAAAAGGGAAGACCCAAAAGGGAAGACCATTAAATTGTTCACACGGTGGGACATTATTATGTTTGCTTATCTTTGCCTTATAGTTGTGTAAAAGTAATCAGAAAATCATGTACATTTGCAATGCAGCAAATGTAATGTTCTTCAGTTTATTGTGCAGCTTACATTTGCTATAAATACAACTGTGAAAGATGCAATACTAAATCCCACTTATTGTCATTTTATGTGAACTTTGAAAGCATGCTGTACTTCAGAAAAGCCCTATTTTCCTTTCATATTATCAAGCTGGCTTTAGCAGAATAAAGGAAGAAATGCCAAGACAGTTTTAATAGACTATATAAATCATTTTCTCCGTCTGGTTTTACACGCTTGGAAGAAATGGAAAAATCTATATAAATTTGTTTGGTTTTCAAATGTCAAGTTTTCTTCATGGCTGAAAGTAATGAGGTATATACCCAGTATGCTGCACGGCAGAAAATAGAGTAAGAGAAATTGTTTTAAACATTGATTCTTTTATATAACACTATATTCACATGGTTGTTTCTGTTACACCTCCAGTGCTTTCCCCACTAAGAAAAAAAATGCCTTGTAGGTTCTATAATTTGTACTGCATGGGCATTTGGACTGTTAGCCTACACAAAGTCAAATATTTACTGTGCTGTCATTGCTTGCTTGAAAAAAATGTGAAAATAATTAAATTATTGTAATGTAAAAATCAAATAATTAAATCAAAATAAAAAAAATCAAATAATAAAATCAAATAATAAAATAAATTAAAACAAAAAAGAGTAGGCTATAACTAATACCAGCAGATAAAAATGGTCTTTTAATTTGATTAAATTATCATTTTTTTATGAATAACTGTTATATGCTTGAATGGAACACAAGTCTCGAGCCCCAAGAAATGTTTTCTATGTTCTGCTGACATCTAGTGTATCTGTAAGGAATTTAATGGACGTTCTTGTGTTTGTCCTTTACAAGCTGCCGTTGTTACGTAATCAAAGGTTAACCAATAAAGAATGAGAATGTGACGTAACGCCGCGTTGAGTTCTTGTTTATCCGCCATATTTGCAGGATAGCGCTGCCTTTCCGCTATTGAGTTTAGGGCAGTATTTGATTGTTTGTCGTGACAGAGGAAAACGCTTTACATTTAAACATGTCGCGTTGATATTCTGCCTCATCTGCATGTCTTTTAGCATCACTGTCTTAGCACATTAAACCAGCATTTGAAAATGCTACAACACTTTCCCCGAGCTCCTAGGGATTTGATTTTGCTTGTCATTTGTTGAAATAAATATAAAAAGTACAGTGAGTTCGTGACTGTTCGCTGAATATGACCCACAATCTGTGATTCTCCTCCGTGGCCATGGAAACATTCATATTTATAATGACAACAACTATACTTTGTCATTTAAAACTTTCCAACAAAGAAATGGATGGACTTCTGTCAGCTTGTTGAACACACTTTTATTTGGATAATGTACCATATGATGACTGAAGCAGCAGCGAGCGACACTGTTTTCACGCTAATCGGGTAAACACTGTAACGTTAAACTAAATTCTACCAAACCTAAGAGAGAAATGCAGTGCATATCATGCAGTGCGATAAAATAGCTTCTCTTCCCTGCAAACGATACAATGAAGAATGAATGGTTGTTTAACTTAAAGGCAAAAACAAAACAAAAGATAAGCACTTATCCTTATAGAGAATGAGAAGTAACCATGGGAACGGATAGCGTATCCTGCTAATATGGCGGCGCCTTCCCGAAATGCAATGCGGAGTGAAAAGATCGTGACGTAACTCCTCATTCTCTATAGCAGTTAGCAAGCTAACAGCTAACGTCAATCTCACAAAATTCAGGTAATCACAAATACATTTATTACATTTGAATATCGTTACTGACTAACCACAAATAGAGTTCCAAATAATGCGAAACACAGCATACTTTCAGCATTTTTCGACTGATTATTAAATGTAACCTCAACTTTAGTTTAGCCTCTGGGCTAGTGAGACATGCATAACGTTACAAGAAATGTGTCATTAACTGGTTACTTGTATTCAATCTGATGTTACATGTGTTAAATTCATTTTTAGACGAATGAATTAGTTTTGTATAGTAGTTATATTTGTTTTTGTGTAACTTAGCTTTATTGCTTTATTGTTCCTTTATGACCTTTATGTTTCTTTTAGTTAAAAACACGACAGAAGCTGCTTTATTACACCTGACATGTTTCTAACAATCATGTTGTTATTGTTTAGTCCTCCGCAGTAAGAGGAAATGTTTCATATGAGGAAATGTTTTTTCAGATGATCTAACAAAACTTGCATTTTCTTTAAAGCGCCTTTGTTGAGCTCCTCTGTAAACAAAGTTTTGGACCTATTTTGCAATCATCCATGGATATTTTGCAATCATCCATGTTTTCTTGTGAGGTGCCTAATTAACATCTGCATTTGTTGCGTGTAAATAATTTTTCTTTATTGTTATAAGCATAGCCGCGTCGCTATATTAATGCTTAGGTTTTTTTCCACCCTCAGGTGAACTGTAAACAAGAGAAGCCCAACAGGATGACCAGTGTGAGTGTATTGTAATTGTTTTGTATTGTGCAAGGTGGATCTATGTAAACGCAACACAATCTAACATCATATATGAAAAGCTATTCTCATTAACATCTTTTTTGCTTACATTTTTTATGTTTACATCCACTTTATAAGCGGTATGTAAGTGCTTGCTGTGTTTTGTCAGGTGCTTTGCAGCAGAGCTCGGCTGGTGACATACCTGCCAGGGCTTCACGTTCTAGTTCATCGTGTTGTTGGAGCCAGGACTTTCTCCGGGGCGTCCGGCTCAGATGAGACACACCTTCACAGCAGTACCCCTGACACTGGTAAATGAGTGTATTCCTCTGTAGAATACTGAATCAACTGTTAGCGCCCAGTATAATAGTTAATGGCAATACATTTACAAATAGACTTGATTACAGCATATTTTACATACGGGCTAATAACAACATTTGCTCTTGTATTTATAGTTGATTGTGTTTTCACAAGGTGTTTTCTAATGATGTATGCTTGATATTTCTGTGAATAGCACAAAGGACAGTGTGGCCGGACGAGACCATGGGCCCGTTCGGACCTCAGGATGAACGTTTCCAGTTGCTGGGTAACATGGGTTTTGACTGTCATTTGGAGGATCCAGTGGAGCAGAGGACCTCACCGATTCACGGCGTGATGCCAGACGTGCTCACTGCTCAGTCCAGCAGCGAGAGGCACAACTTCATCCTGGCCCAGTTCATCAATGAGCTTCATGTATGATGCTTTCAGAGTCATTTGATTTGACAGAATAAACAAATAAGTAGTAAAATAATAATTGTATTAATGGTTGTGAAGTTATTAATGATCATAATCACTTAACAATGTGAATTTGAAAAGCAAAAGACTGTACAATCATTAAGTTATTTATTTCTTTATTTTTGCTATTGCTTGCTCATAAGTGTTATCTCATAATAAATGTAAACTCATACTATTTATATTAAAATGTAAAATATTATGTGATGCAATGGTGTTCTTGTTCCTACACCACCGTTTAAAAGTTAGGGGTCAGTTAGATTTTTTTCTTTAGGTTTTTGGTAGTAGTTTCGTTTGCTAATCGAGGCTGAATCAAAAATACAGGAAAAAACGTAATAATGGGGAAATATTATTAAAAATGTAAATAACTTTTTTTTTTCTTTTACTATTTGAAAGTATTTTAAAATGTAATTTATTCCTCTGATGCAAAGCTGAATTTTCAGCGGCAATTACTCCAGTCTTCAGTCTCACAAGATCCTTCTGAAATCATTCTAATATGCTGATTTGCGGCTCAAGTCATGTTGGAAAAAGTTGTTCTGTTTAATATATGTGACCCTGGAGCACAAAACCAGTCATAAGTAGCACGGGTATATTTGTAGAAATAGACAACAATACATTGTATGGGTCATAATTATCGATTTTTCTTTTATGCCAAAAATTATTAGGATATTAAGTAAAGATCATATTCCATGAAGATATTTTGTAAATTTCCATACATCAATGGAAAGCTTAAATTTTGACAAAATCATACTAACCCAAACTTTCCTCTGTGTTTCTATATGTTTTTTTTAGGAAAGTGATAAAACATCCACAGAACAGAACGTGGATAAAGCAGAGCACTTCTTCGATCATTCCAGTGTGGAGTGTGCCATTCAGTCTTGCCCTGAATTGATAAAAAAAGGTCTGTATGTTGTTGTTTTAGAGCATTTGAGTTGATCAGATTGAACATGGACTGCTATAAAGCACTGTGACTTTCTGCTGAGGTTATTGGCAGTAAGGGTGAGCTCATTTGTAATGGGTCAATGTGAAATGTGACCACAAGAGGGTAGCATTTCCATCTGCATTTTAGGCACTGAATGGTGGTGTTCTATATCCCAAAATGTAACAGTGTTATAGTATGTAATAATTACTGTGCAGATATTCTTATTTTCTTTTTCTGTAGTGTAGCTATCCTGTGGTTATTGTTCATTAATGTGTGCGTTCCCTGTTCTTCATCTAATTCAGATTTTGAGTCCATGTTCCCTGAGGCCCCGTCGACCGGCATGATGGTGGTCACAGTGACGCAGAAAACACAGAACGACATGACGGCCTGGACTGAGCAAGTGGACCAGGAGAGAGAAGAGCTGCTCGCAAAAGTGAGTTGATCTAGATATGTAATAATATTATTATAAACATCATGTATCATATATTATATTATTTCTGTACACACCATGCCTAACTGCAGCTGCTGTCACTTATTATCAACATATCCTGATTAATTCATCATATTTAGCCCTTCTCTGTGGCTTTGTATTGTCCTTGGGCAAGTTATGTGGCTTTAGATAAAAAAATAAAAAAAACTCCTTCAGAACGTGTGTGTACGAGAGGCAGAGCTTTGTGACTCAGCAGTTCATGCCTTCGGCTCTTTGTGTTATTTACTGTCTGCTTCACATCACTGTGGAGTTCCTGTCTAATTGGCGTGGAGCCACGCTGTAGGAATGCTGCAGGCACTGTATTATTCTCATGCTGTTGTTTGTTTGTGAGCTGCTGCATTCAAAAAGTAAAGGTTTATAACTAAGCATGTGCCAAAACAGAGTGAGCAGAACTGAATGGAAGCTCCATGGTTAAAGCCATTCATTATTGTTGATAATTGTGGTGTATGCAGTTTGTTTCAGGTGCAAAGGAGATATGCCATGCTCTCCGAACAGAAGGATTCTGGGCTGATTTCATTGACCCATCGTCTGGACTTGCAGTAAGTGAAATAAATGTCAACTAAAGTTTTTCAATCTAAAAACATTCAATCCCTATGCATTTGTATTGCATTTCTCTCTCCTCAGTTCTTTGGTTCATACACAAACAACACGCTCTTTGAAACGGATGAAAGGTATCGCCATTTAGGTTTTCAGATCGAGGACCTGGGCTGTTGTAAAGTGATTCGGCACATCATGTGGGGGACGCACGTTTTTGTGGGCACACTTTTCACCACAGCGCCACCCAACAGCCAGATCATGAAGAAGCTACAAGGGAACTAAAGTTAATTAGTTAAGGATGCTGAGTCGGCTTGGGAACACTATTAATATCTAAAACAAACCTCACCTTGAGATGATTATCGCAATCAAAACACACTTACATCCCATAATGCACTGTGCGGGCGTCTGAGTGCAAGAGCGAGTTGCGGCGTGTTTGAGTGAGTTGCTACTTTTTTCCTTTTCCTTTGGTTTGTATAGATATTTTGGTTTAGTGTAGATTTAATTGTCGCAATTGTCACAATTATCGCCCGCATAGTGAAGTTGCCCAGGGGCTGCTGCTGCTGGAAATTTGTATTTATTTTTGTAGATCAAAAAGCACTTTTGGTGGGACTTTTATTTTGGGTGCGTGTGCTACAGAGGGAAGTTCTGTGTCACATGTCCAGCATCTTTCAGTCTCTCTCTTCCTCTATGTTGCCTTTCTTCTACCACATACTTCAATGGAACTAAAATGTGACAGCTAAACCATTGCTCCATTGTTTGTGTGAACAGTTTGGAACTGATGACCTTCACATAAAACCATCCCATAATCTAAATGGTTGAGCTACCAAGATATAAGGCCTTCATCACTCAGTAGTGACATGCATTTCAAGTAACTAGTAAATGCAACTAGAATTAGGCTGATAATTGGTTTGACAGATTTTCTTATACTCTGTTGAAGTAAAAAAATAAATAATAATACTGACCCCAAACTTCTGAACGGTAGTATACATGTAAATATAAGTAGATGCATCTTATGTTTTTATGGGTGTAGGCTGCTGTTAATTTATTTGTATCACAAAAAACAGTGTCAATAAAAAAAGTTCAGTGAATTATCTTTCTGGATTTTAGTCTCTAACCTATATGGTGGATGTTTTGGCCTTATTAGCCTGAAGCGATCAAAGCTGGCAACTGCTGTTGTCAATGTCTCACGGGTGTCATTAGAATTCAGTCAGACACACAACGAATGGACTATAAACACTCTTCTTTAAACTCTGACACTACTATTATTGTAGACAGTTCTTCTCTTTCCATTAGCACATGCCTGTGCTTTTGAATCATGTGGCCCTTACAGCTGATCTCTCCTTGATGGAAAGTCACACAAAAATTCTATAAAGGCTATAAAGTGTTTATTTATTTAAATATTTTTCATTATATTAGATATGATCGTTTGCTTACATTGTTTTTCAGCCCTTCATAGAAAATCTTATTGCAAACAATTCTTATTGTGAGTGCATTGAATCCGTATATACTGTACTATGGTTTTCTTCCTGTGGTAACCAGCATCTAATCTCGTTTATGATATTGAGCAAAATCCTGTCATGATGTGTGTGGTAATCAAAGAGTGCGGTTGATCAAAGCCGGGCTGTGTGGGGATGGTGACACATGTTTTAGAGACAGCAGTCATCACCCCATTGACATGGCTATCAATTAGATGTAATTGTCCTGCTAAAACTGGGTTCCTCCTCTTTGTTCGTTGGTTAAGTTCACTCTTTAACTGTTTCACTGAATTCAAACTGTCAGACTGAACAGCTCATTAACAATATGATTATAATATCAGCTTGTCCTTTTATCACTCTAAAAGAACAGTGTTTACATTTATAAATTAACTTTGTGTTGTGAGGAGGCGTCTGTTTCCATGTCTCAACTTCACACATTGTTTCAAAATTGCATAGCATTGTGTTTCATGTATATATACAATGGGGAAAATATTTATTTGATCCCCTGCTGATTTTGTAAATTTGCTCACTTACAATGATATGAAGATTTTTATGGTAGGTTTATTTTAACGTATAGAGACAGAATACCAACCAAAAAAATCCAGAAAAAACACATTATACAAAGGTTAGAAATTGATTTGCATTTCAGTGAGTGAAATAAGTATTTGATCCCCAAGCAAAACATGACTTAGTACTTGGTGCAGAAACCCTTGTTGGCACGCACAGAGGTAAGACGTTTTTTGTAGTTGGTCACCAGGCTTGCACACATCTCAGGAGGGATTTTGGTCCACTACTTTTTACAGATCCTCTCTAAATATTTAAGGCTTCTTGGCTGGCGTTTGGCAACTTGAAGTTTCAGCTCCCACCACAGACTTTCTATAGGATTGAGGTCTGGAGACTGGCTTGGCCCCTCCATGACCTTAATGTGCTTCTTCTTGAGCCACTCCTTTGTTGTCTTGGCGGTATGTTTCAGGTCATTGTTATGCTGGGAGACCCATCTTCAGTGTTCTGGCTGAGGGAAGGAGGTTCTCGTCCAAGATTTTACAGTACATTGCCCCGTCAATTTGCCCCTCAATGTGGTGAAATCGTCCTGTACCCTTAGCAGAAAAACAGCCCTAAAGCATAATGTTTCCACCTCCGTGCTTGACTGGTATTCTTGGGGTCATAGTCAGCATTTCTCTCCCTCCAATCACGGCGAGTCGAGTTAATGCCAAAGAGCTACATTTTGGTCTCATCTGACCACAGCAGTTTCTCCCAAGCCTTCTCTGAATCATTCAGATGTTCTTTGGCAAACTTTAAACGGGCCTGTACATGTGCTTTCTTGAGCAGGGGGACCTTGCAGGTGCTGCAGGATTTCAGTCCATTGTGGCGTAGTGTGTTACCAATGGTTTGCTTAGTGACTGAATGTAATCCCAACTGCCTTAAGATCATTAACAAGCTCCTTCTGTGTAGTTCGGGGCTGGTCCCTCACCTTTCTCATGATCATCCTTACCCCATGAGGCGAGATCTTGCACAGAGCTCCAGACCGAGGCCGATTGATGGTTATTTTGTATTTCTTCCATTTCCGAATAATCGCACCAACAGTTGTCTCCTTCTCACCAAGCTTCTTGCTGATGGTCTTGTAGCCCATTCCAGCCTTGTGCAGATCTACAATCTTTTCTCTGAAATCCTTTGACAGCTCTTTGGTCTTGCCTGTGGTGGTGGGAGAGGTTGGAATGAAAGATACAGATTGTGTGGACAGGTGTCTTATACACCTAACGAGCTGACATTAGGAGTAACTTCTTAAAGTGGCAGGACTAATCTGTGTTCCACATGGGCACATAACCAATCTGTGGGAGCCAGAATTCTTGCTGGTTGGTAGGGGATCAAATACTTATTTCACTCACTGAAATGCAAATAAATATCTAACCTTTATATAATGTGTTTTTTTCTGGATTCTTTGGTTGATATTCTGTCTCAATCTGCTAAAATAAACGTACCATAAAAATTACAGACCCTTCAATCAGCAGGGGATCAAATAAATATTTTCTCCACTGTAATGCAAAACAAAAAGAGGTTCTTTTTTTTTGGTTGATGTATAAGCACTGACCTGTTAACCAAAAAAATAGTTAATCAGATTTGCAACAGACAATGTTGTTAAATGTCTCTGATCTCACAGCTTTTCTTTTATTGTTGCTGCTAAATGTGTGTTACTGTTGAACTCTTATCCTAGTAATATGCCCAAAATTGAACTAGTCTTCGGCTAATTGTTAAGGTAACAAAATAAGCACCATTCACACTACTTGAACTTTTTTTAAGCAGGGTAAAATAAATAACATTTATTAATTAAATACATTTATTGACAAAATCAAATCAAATAATTTTCTTGTGGCATAAATATGAAATATATATTTATAAACTTTATGCTTGGCTAAAGCATTTGCGTTGGTGGAATGATTCAAATCACAGGAGAAAGTCAGGATCATAAATTTTTAATTGGGGTTAGATATCTAGGTCAGACAGCCATCTTGTTGCTTTTCATGAGAAATAAATTATTCAAACAAACCCTCGCCCTACCGACCCCACGTCCTTTAAGAACAGTTTTTTTTTTTTTTAAAGAAATTATATTTGGTTTATAGGTCTATGAATTTGATAAAGGTCATGTTAGATCTGGAAGATAAATCCTTGATTTTTAAGAAACGTGAACAGGAATTTTTGGTAAATACATACATTTGTGCATTAGTAATAACAACAACAATTGTCAGATGATTGATAGAATTAAGAATTCCCACCAAATAACTAGAATGAGAAGGCATATTTTTTGAATAATGTTGAAAAATGTATTGAAGCATAAGTGACAAGGAAGGACTAAACAATTCAAATTGAGTCAAGGCAAAGAAGTCAGACACAAGAACTGAAAACACAAGAAATGAAAATCAGTGTGAGTTGGGTGGGGGGTGCGGAGCACTTCTGTCTCCTGTTAGTAAAGTGACAGCAGCGCCAGGTCTGCAAAGCAAAAGAAAACCTGGTGTCAAAGGTCTGTTCAGACAATGGAACGTTCCCACTCGTTATCTGCCAACACTTTCCTGTGTTTAGAAAGCAGCTAAGATTTACATGGGCTTGGCCTTGTAGAGATCTGAACCGTCATGCACACCGTTAAAGATTTTTCTCTGCACTGGGCAAACAACAGAAGGTATTTTAGCACCGTATCTCTTGTGGTCATAACTTTTCAAGTTGACCTGTTCACAAAGATTCGTGTTTTTAACTTGTGTCGGGGTGCCATGTTTCTTTTTGTATTGCAAAAATCAGGTTTTGTTGACTCGGAAGCTCAGAGTCTGTGTATTTGGACTCATGGTGAGCATGAACCGAACAGCAGCTGGTGTAATGCCAGACATAATGTGTGCTTGTTCATTCAGCGCTGCGTATTCTTACTCCTAATCCTTTTAGGCTTTTCTCTGCTTTAATTTCATTGAATTAGACTCAGATTAGAATTGAATGAATTAGAAAACTCATAACGAGTGAGTGCTGCAGCCACACGCACAAAACAGCTGGATCTTCAGAAACAACTTTATTAGACTTTAGCAAACCGTTGATGGTGATCACTGATAATTAGGCTTAAATGCTAATACTTTTTAGAGCAAATAATTAATTCTAATTTCAATATTCTGTAATATGTAGTAAAAAGTTATCAGTTTTTCTTTTAGATCTGTCCTTTTGTTTCTGCCTTGCTCACTCTTTTTGTCTGTGTTTCTTGCAGTGCTGGTTTTTGTTAGAATTTCAGAACACCAGAAGCTATTTTTAGGATTGATAATTCCTATTTTGGTGTATCCTGAGTCTTTATTCCCCTGAGTCTGTCATCATCATGTAATTCAGTCATCGGGAAGCTGTAGCTGTGGTTGTGCTCCTCTCAGTCCAGTCCTTCCTCAAGTCTTCCCATCACACCGCAGCAGACTTCCAGTCTGTCCTGTGAGATTTTCCCACTGTCTCCGTCTTCCTCTGAAGACAAGATTTCACACTTACATCATTATCTGTTGTTGTCTCCACTCTGTCCTGGAAACTGATAGCGTATTCACACACCAAAACAGCAGTTACATTTTGTCCAGCATGCATGATTTATTCAGTCACAGATTATTAAATAAATATGAATTACTTTGAATCTACATGAAAGCCAGATAAGATAAAAACTTTGCTCAAAACTTCAGTTTTTTGTGTTTTTATTTCTTACGCTCACCAAAGCTGCTTTTATTTCATCCAAAATACATTGAAGGCAGTAATGTAAAATTCTTAAAAGTCTAATATGCTGATTCAGTGCTCAAGAAATATGTTTTATTATTATCAATGCTGAAAATGGTTTTTGCTGCTTAATATTTTTGTGAAAACCATGATACATTAACATTCAAAATTTTGGGGTATGTACAGTATAGGGTTAAAAAATACTTTTATTCTGCAAGGATGCATTCAATTGTTTAAAAGTGACAGTAAAGGCATTTATAAA